TTAGGGGTTTAGGGTTTACGGGGGACTTAGAGACTGAGATTAGGATGTAGGGGTCTAGCTTTTCCGCATTGATATCGCCGTAAACCTAAGCACTGAACCCCAACGGCCAAGGGCTCTAACTGTATCGAGGATAAAGCATTTTGGCCTCACGTATAAAGGAGTCTTGTTGAATGCGCAGGACCTTGGGTTTAGTTACCGGGTTCAATATGTTGCCGTTTCTTCGGTGCCTCACCACTGCTGTCGCCATAAAAAGCCGGCGCACCAGTCAAACCGCACGTGTGGGTATGCACGCAGCGACCTCGCCAAAGATGTCCCGATATTGACAAGGTTGTGAGGAATCTTTATCCAGACAGGTGAGCTACTACCCACATCCCGCTGCCTTGGAAGTCTGACAGTATACGTGTTCTGGTTTCTCGAACGTTTTTTGCAGACACTTGCGACAAGAAGTCCTTGACTCTTGGTCTCAGACATACCCTCAGAGTCAACACCTATAATGCTATATCGCCTTTCTAGTGCCCACAAAGGAATCTTTTTGTAAGCTCTTTTGGAACATACGGGCGATTTTCGAATCTATAGAGCTTGAGACCCTTGGTTAGTACCCTTAATGCTTCTGCTTGAAACGAACAACTATCGAAGCCTAAATAGTTACCAATATTTTCCTTAGGGCGTCTTATAATAATACTAATTCTGCAAGGGAACTCCCAAACCCTAAAGAGAATCCCAGAAAGTTGGAGCATGGGTTTAGGAGGATTAGTGCTACGGTCCCTTATACCTTACATAAAACTGAAGGGCATGAGGATCATCATGTTCCCACTTTCTGGCTTCTACTTTAGTCCAATTATTAACCCTTACCCTCAAAGGACTCACATTCTAATTCTTCTGGGCCCAACGACCCTATCATATAAGGCTTCTGGGCTATTGTGATGCGGGTAACCCTAAACCCTAAGCCCTAACCTAACAATGCTAAGGGTAAGGCCCCATACATGAACCGAACTCTTTCGGTAGGAGCTCGACAGCCGTTCCACGGAACTGCACAAGGCCGGAGCCCGGCGTCGCTTCGGAGTGTGGGTTGCAGATGTTCCTTATATAGGGTTTAGGGTGTATACAGGTGTTTAGGGTTTAAGGTCTGGCGAGCTTGGGTTGCAGGTTTTCCTTGTATATAGTGACCTTAACCCTAAGGGTCCAACAGTACCTATCTAGCCTCATATTTCGGAGAGTATATGATTGTTGGTACTTGGATCCCTATGGTAAGAATCGAAATGCAGTCCTCGACATTATTCGGGTAAGATACAGTAAACATGAAAGCAAGAGGAACATAGGGTTACTAAGGGCAACTATTCAGGGGTTTATTTTGGGTTTCGGGTTTAGGGTTTAGCTTCTGCAGTAGCCTGCCTGATGTCGTCAAAAGACTTCGATCGGCATCGTCCAATTGACTCGACTCAACGGGAAGGTGGAAGGTGCAAGGGTTTAGGGGTTTTAAGGGTTTTAGGGTGTTGGGTTTAGGGTTAAGGTGGGATGGGATCCGGGGTGCGAGGTAGGATGGCTACGGGCAGGTTGGATTCAATCGATCCGATCGTGGCCCTTGCTCGACAGACCTGCTACAGGGTTCTGGTTTTGCTACGGTTGATGATATGAAACCTGCAAAAAATTACCCATAATTGATAGGAATATACTATTATTCCGAATTATTCCCATAGTTTAGGGTCCTTACTGTAATGCAGGATTTACAGTATATCATCGACAGTAGGTGAACCCTGGCTGCTCAACGGAGCTGCCACAAGACGGCTGGGTCTTTGTGTCCCCTCCTGATCCGAAGGCTAAGCCGCCGCCGTAGGAGCTGAAGAACAACCCAGAAACAGGGTTTAGGGTTGAGGGTTGAGGGTTGAGGCGGAGGCCACGCAGAGCCCTAGAAATAGGGCCGCGAGCAAGGCGCACACAGTGAGGCAGAGCCAAGTTCTGCGGACCAGGAAGCTGTCACTGAGGGTCCATGTACCCAAATAGCATATACATTGGCCCCTAAGTACTTGTATAGGGGTGTGTCTGGACTACCAGATGCTTCAGATCGGCCGTGAGTCACACATTCGGCGGACGTGGAAGGCGAGTGCGCAAACCCTAAACCCTAAACTCCTAAACCCTATAAACCCTGACCCGAAATCCTAAACCCTAANNCCCTAAAGCCTAAACCCTACCCTAAGCTGGCTCACCTCGCGGGTGAGCTTCGTCTCTCCCAACCAGGAGGAGAGGAGCCGTGGCTGCTAGGCTCAAAGAGACGATCCCTTGGGGTTATGGCCGGATCCCAAGGGCAAGACCCTCAAAGTTTAGGGTTTAGGGTT